GGATGACTTGACTTCCTGTTAAAAGAGCGATAAATTAACAAACATCGACATATAGTTTATAATGTGTACCCAACCAAAGTAGAGACATTCGACAATTATGACGATTATAATCACACCGGAAGAATTAATTAAAGCCGGGCGAGCGAGAGTGTAAGGTTATCACGAATACGCGAGAAGATTCGTTTTACAAAGATGAAATTTTGAGAGATTTAAAAGAACACACGAGATTATTATATTTTTTACAATCCTTTAATTAATATACCCTATTTAATTAATCCTATAATATTGTATTTACATAATATTTATAATGTAATTAATTTGATCTATATGTATAGTACAAAAAGGATCATTGACCGGAACAAAAAAAAACCAAATTATTAATTAATGATAATTAATAATTTTAACTGATAATCATATACATACAGCATTATGCAACGTAATAAAACAAATTAAAATTTAAAAAATCAAGCATGTTATATTTCGTATTTAATTTTATGATTTTTGATGATGGTGGGTCCAGATTAATAGCCTAATTAGCACACAGCGCTTACAAAACGTTAATAAAGCGCTAAAAAAGCGCATATAATCGCTTTTTTAGCGCTTTGCAAGCGCTGCTGCGTTACTTGGGAAGGATTTAATTAAACATTTTGTGGAAATGTTATGATACGCATGAGAGGTGTATAATTATGAATCACGTTCTTCCATGTACTTCGCACTATTTGTTCCTAAATGATTATGAAATCTCACTGATAAAGAAGTTGGTATGGCTCTAATCTCATTATCAGTTAATGGTATCAGCAGCGCTATCGATTCTCAACGTGAATGACGATATAAGGCTTTGGCAGACTCAGATAACGTTTTTCTATTGATAATAACACCGTAAGATTTCAACTTGAAAGTTTTTACGCATGATATCGAAATTTTACTAGAAACGCAATCTATGAAGTTTTCTGAGAATGCAATTTACCTTTAAGACAATCTTTCTCTCTCGCGTACCTATAGTAACACGTGTAGTTGCACACTGCGATAAATCATAGACCTGTTCTTTTTGGCTAAACTTATGTACCAATACATCTTTCTTCTTTTTTTCTCCAAAAGAAAACAAGAGGAAGAAAGATGAACTGGTGCAAAAGTTCAGCCAAAAAGAACAATCCTCTTATGTCCATTCAAATGTTCAGACATATGTACACAGGACATGCACACATACATGCCCATAGATATTGTTTTCACAACTAGAGATGCTATTCATAATTATCCACGTTCGCGTTGATACTTATGTGTATATCCAATATGTCGTGAAATATTTATAGCGATTTTTTTTATCTTATATACTTTGGATCGTTTCTCATTAAATAGTTAATATGGATATAAATATGCAAATAAAAAAATCATGAAAAATTAACAAAAAAAAATGTACCTATATATTCAATAAAAACATTTTTTATTCTATTTTCATTAAATCTTTATATTGAATATTTTTAACATATTCGAGTGTTAATTTCATATAATGTGATTATGTTGAATTTATTATTTTTGGTTCTGTTAATTGAATTTTATGTTAAATTAATAATCAACATTTTTTTTAGTGTTAAAATAATACAATTTTTGAGTAAATGAACAAATAACATAAATATAATGTATTTTAAATGCGTAAATTATTAAGATAAATGAATATATTAATAAAATGTTAAATGTTAAATCATATTTAATTCTGTGAAAATATTATGACGTGCGGGAGATATAATTATAAATACTGTCCTTGTACGTGTATTGTACTGTCAATAACATAAGGATATTAATTTTACTGAAGAAATATTTCACAATTTGTTTCCAAATTGCGTCAATATTATATATTTCTTATGTATTATATTATATATAATATTTCTTAAATATTATTAATTTTTTACATAATATATGTATTTGTGTCACTTTCTAATATATATTCATTTTATGTATATAAAATTAATACAAAAATTTGAATAGATCATTTGGGACATGTAAAATGGGAAAATTTATGTAAATTTGACACAAATTTTCCAACTGAGAAGATGAAGACCAGAGTTTATCTGTAACCCGATTCTACCAATGTTATTTTGACTTTAAGGGAAGCTTAAAATTTTTACTTTCTTTTTAAAGTCGAAGAGAGAGAAAGAGAGAGAGAAAGAGAGAGAGAGTTTTATAAGTCTCGTTTAGAGTTAAAGTAACGTTATCGTACAATCGAGTCTGAAAGAATCACATATAATTTAATAAAACTCTTTAGAGACACAATAAGATGCTCGAGAATAACCCGTTGTGCGAAAACGTACTCTTTCCGAGAATATTCTACACAACTTCAACAGAGCACATTAGCAAACAAAAGTAACGGTTGGAAAATCTAGTACTCGCGGACCGCAACGTTATATATGACTATGACGATACTGAACTATTCACATGATGACACGAGAAGTTATAGATGCCTTAGGTGGTCTTCTTCTTTTTCTTCTTAACACCCTTTTTTTGATTTCCAACTTTGATTTCGATATAAAGAATAACAGTACCATGCAACAAAGAATGGATCAAGGATCCACTTATAATCTCCTTGGGAAGCAAAGGCTTCGCTTGTTCAAAACTTATATAATTACATTATGGTATCGTATATCAATTCAAAGTAAATATAATACTCAAATAGACGCCTTTTGTATAGTTCGCAATAGTCTTAAACCTTCTAATTTCACACAGATAGAACAGTAAGCTTTTTAACTTTTAGACCACCGGAAAATCGATATATCAGCTTTAATTTTATGATATAGTTAGCTTGAAACATTATATTTGAGTTCAGTTATATCATTCTGAATGTATATGTAGACAAATCACACTTCATCATAAAAAAAAATTATTTTATATACAAGCTGTATAAAATTTCACAGCAATAATGAGTGAAGAACTATAATATAAGTTTGTCATGGCTCATTCTGGAGAAAATTGATACATAAATTACAAATATAGTTTTTTATATAATATATAATTAAAAAAAAAAACAGTAAAACTAAAAAATAAAAAAATAAAGATATTTTTTTAATAAAAAAAATATCAAAAAACTCAAAAAACGAAAAAAATACAAAAGAAAAAGGAACTACTTAAACTCTTTACGTCCACGTTATTAACTCTGGGTAAAGTCGAAGAAGAGTTCTATCTAAACTTTATTTTGTTGCTGGTATACATACAATAATGGCTTCAGCATTCAAAATTATCATTTTCTAACTTCACCACAGTATTTAGCGACCTCAAAAATTATTATATATGTATTATTTACAAATTAAAAAAATTTTAATTTTTTCCGTAATCTTCCCCGTCGAAAAGCTGATATATCGGCTCAAGCCATTGTTATATAAGGATATATCCTTGCATAAAATATACAAACATATGTTTTTGTTACTTTTCAATTTTGATAACTTTTAATATCGACAGTCTAAAGGTTAAGTATGACACAAATAGAATAGTCAACCACGCGGAAAATCGCGTACGTGAGACGCGGATCGAACCCGTAGATTATGAGTCCGTGGACCGAGTGAGGAGTCACTCGACGCCTTGTCCGAAAGTCGACTCGCGATCTGAGGATCCGAGTTCGATTCCTGCGATTCATGTATGCGATTCATAATTTTTCCACATTAAATATGGAGAACATCACTCTGTGAAACGACAAACTAAATGCTAGCGAATCTGCTTGAGGGGCAATATTGCATTAGTTGATATTACTGATTAAGTCAAGTGTGATTAAAAATATGTAAAGATTTAACACTTGGCAAGAAAAGATGAATTTCATATAGAAGGGATACTATTCGTGATTTTTGTACAAAGCGTATCCTCTGCTCTCCGAGAAGGATATACGCAAATTTATCACCTGGTATACACATGGTGACTCTTTATAGTGATCGGAAAACCAAACAGGGAATTTATTAAGAAGAACAAGAAGATTATTCACAATTTATCAGAATTCATCCGATTCATCAGAGTTCATGGAACAAGCGTGACAATGTATATGATAAAGCATTAGGGAAATATGAGTTTTCCATTAGCAGCGAATTTTTCAAGGAGTTACAACTTTTTCGAGTAAAAAAGGTGTATTTTGTGAAAAATTCGCTACTGTATTCCAAGCAGAACAAAATATTATAATGACATCAAAATGATATCAAAATGACTTTAAAATTATTAAGTCACTTTTTGATTAGTCATAATTCATTTTAATGGTTAATTGCGTTTAGCAGAAAAAATAGCTTTACAACTATAAGATTTTTTATTGATTAATTCTTGCTCTTAGTTCCTTACTGACTCTAAAAATCTATAAAACAATTTCCTAGTAAGAAAAAATTAATAGAAAACGATTGAGAACAATAGGATTTTTATCAGTTTGTATCATTTTCTCTAAGTTTATATCATTTTCCATTGTTGACCTCGCGAGCATTACGATTGATCGAATATGAATCCTATCCGTATTTCATCGGATTCTGTAAGATTTGTACAAGATTCCTATAAAATCTGAATCAAATTAGTGAATTCACCAGACTCCATATTCAAAAGAATTTTTCTATCTTTCTCTATCAACTTTTTTTACCAGGGAATTTAAATGTATTTATTAAAAAATCTTACAACACACAGTTATAAAACTGCTTCTTCTATTGAATACAGTCAATATCATTTTGACATTTTCGATTTCTGCTTGGAATCTTCTTCACACTTTCTATCTATATATATATATATATATATCTCGAAAATTTATTTAAGTGTAGGGAACTTCCATAAGTGTCCTTAATGACGAAATCTCTAACATTGTCAACTAGACAATGAGACTCTAAATATTATACTACGTTCAAGAAAAACATGTTTGACATCAGCAATGTGATTTAAAGATCTTGACGGATGATCGTCTTTGTTCTCGACTCGAGAACAAAGCCGGAGTTTCTCCAGGAGGGAATTCATTAAACCTTTTAGAAATCTCTATTGCAATTTTTATGGATTATTACCTTGGCGATTATGATACCGCGGACAGTGATGCCGATCATCGGACTGAAACGAATCTCCACACCGGATTCTATAATGAGTTTGGCGTCCTTTTCAATAAACAAATCCTCTCGCAACAAGTAAGGACTCTTCGATCTCTCAAACACTTTTTGATCTCGAATAATGCGGCCACCATGTTCTTCGAAAAGACCGCCATTATTCCAGCTGCCGTTTGCCTCGCTCTCATTTATTGGTACTGTGTAATAAATTGATGTTTGGTCGAATCTGTCATCTGGAAGAGCTCCAGCCAAAACGGCCAGAATCGACAGCGAAATCCACAATCGTTGCATTCTTCAGTATATGCTTTCGATATCAGGTAATTTAAATCGCCTTATTTTTCTTCTTTTTTTCTGATTAGAGTAAAAAAATTTGGTTTCCTAATTTAACGGAAATCCATTCGGCTAGAATTCGATGAGACATCAAACTCTCTTACTGAACTCAGAGTTAGAATCCATCCACTGTATATATATAGTCCTCGATTTATTATAAATCTAAAATGGGAATATCACTTTTGAGAGATGGAATGTTCAAAAAGAATTAACGATTAGCGTAATTCACATTTTCGTAAGGAACTCGACGAGTGCTTTCTACGCGATTTCTCGATACATTAGTTTATGACTTTCAAGGTGAATGTGTATACTAGTTAAGCATTACGCAAACACACAAACCGAGACGCATTCGTGGTGACGAGGCTTCGCGAGAATCATCCGCTTATCGCCGAGCGATTCACGGACGCGTCATTCGTCGATCGGATTCGTATGTGAGTCAGAAGATGTCTTTCCTCTTCATGCCGCGCAACATCTGATACTTTCACTCGTCAAAGCGAGCTTGACAATTATCCGTTTCGAGAGACGCTTATTGCTCTTCCTGGTGCATTATCGTGACCATCCGGTAAATCGTTTCTGGAGAACAATTGGAGAACTAACAAAACTATCGAAACGCTTCTCGAAACTTGCGATGTAACTCTGACAGTAAACATTGCATGATATATAATAAGTTCTTAAAAGAAAGTTTATTTATACTACACTATCTCTTGCATTTATTTCATCTTTTTCTTTTTATTCCTTTTACATCTCAATAGTACTGTACAATAGCGATAAAGATTATTTATTATTTATTATTATTATTATTATTATCATCAAAAGAATAAAAAAAATAGTGAATCGAAAATTAATAAGCTAACACTGTTGCTTTATTCAGATAAAGAAAAAAACAGATCTAAAAATGTCCTAAAAATATTACAAAATAATACTAAATCAAGTTTTTGAACTTGGCAGATGTAATTCGATAAATTTCGAGTCGATTTCTCCTTCGTAAAATTCTGATTCAATCTCGCTTTCCAATAATTTTTTTTAGCGTATTTTGCTAATCTTTCTCGCAAATGTTGTAACTTAAAATAAATCATAAGATTTTATCATTTATGATTATCTTTAAAGATTACTTAATATTTTTCCTCTTTAATCGCTTGTAACATAAAGATAAAATTCTTTTGATCAAAACTTGTGTGAATTCTTCATCGGAGAAAAATTTGAATAATAATAGTAAATCTCTCACTTTTAACTCAAAAGACGCGACTAAAGTCGAATTCCTCGCAGGGGCTTTGTGTTCTTTGTAACGACCCTCGATCGCATTGATCCGGCAACGTTGGTTCGTTCAAATTCTCGTCACAGCCTGACCATTCACCACCGCATAGAACTTTTCATCAACATCTCGCCCTTCACGCACGTGTGTATGTCGCGTTAATCGAAGCGAAGCGAAGCGATGCGACGCGACGCGTAACGATGGACACGATGTGGAAACCGTTTCGGCAATACTTAACGATGCTATCCAAGAACGTCGCGAGATATGCACCGATCGAATTCGAGCGTTAACCCCCGCTCGTTCAAATGCGAGGGACCACGGCAACGACAGCAGTGGCAACGGACTGTGCGCGTAACGCAGCCGTTACTCAGGACTCCGCTTGACGATTCCTCTCATTTTCAGGTAAATCGCGCGGGCGCAGCCGTTCCTCTGCGTTTATATCTTGCGTACGCGTCCGTTCGACTTCTGTGTCGTTCCTTTTCCAATTCTTTTTTTTTTTTCAATTCCGTCAAGATCAAATTGATCGTGCTCGATCTTGATGTGAACCCATGTTGATCTCCTTGAGTCATTGATGACGCTAATCGATCAATTATTCATTTAGTCTTGCGGATTCGCTAAAGCCTCTCGATCGCGGCGATCTGATGCCTTTGTCGATCATCGATCACAAATACTCCAAATCTCTCTCCCATCTGGAGCTTCCTCGAATCGTGGGCGCGGTTTTGATCACTGTGTTTTATGCTTGCGTATACACGCACTTTTCGTCGCGGTCACTCCCTTGCGCAACTCCCGTCACCGTCCTCTTACAGAGGCACTACGGTTACTACCGCGGTCGCCATGGTGCACTCACTGGTAGCGCGTTGACGCTACGCTACACCTACTACAGCCGAGACGTAGAGCAGGTCACGTGACGCACCCGAGCGTATACGTCACGCAGGTTGTGAAACAGGTGAGTCCCTCCCAGCGTGGTACTGGGTCTCCTTGTTGTAGAGACTACTTCTCAACCGACTTATTTGGACTCTGATCGATTCCTTAATCCTGACATTTGTGGTTTTCAAACAATTAATTTTTAAGGAGATTAAAGAGACTCCAACGAACTGAGCTTGCAGATAGATATTCAGTAAACATTAATTAAAAGTAATATAAATATTCATGTTATTAATTCATATTCAATAATATAAATATAATATAGCACGTACAGGTTGTACGTAGCAATATTAAATTGTGTTACATTGCAATTAAAATTATGACTAATATTATGTTAAATTATTATATAGTATATAGTTGGTGTTTACTGGGAAGGTGGGAGCCCAGATAACCAAGCGTGATTTAGCATATTGAGCAAACTGATGCATTATACGAGTATGATGCATTGTCTTATATTAATTGGCATACATTTGCTGACATCAAAATAGAACACAGCATTAAAAATGCAGCAATATGATTGCTTATGCATGTAAACAGTTGACGAAAGTTCAAAAACAAACGGTCAGCAATAGCGATACGTTATGCTGTCGGCAAGATGATAGCAACATAACAACAAGGAATGATTAATCATTCCATCTTATACATTATATCGATAATATAACGGCAACAAAGCATATATATATCACGATATTCATTCATTGTTGCGTATGTCTTCAAACATATGAAGTTTTTTAAGACGATTCTTTAGTAAAGTATCAAAAATTTGGGATGCCTCACCAAGGCCCATCTAAAATTACAAATATTTGCATAATTTGAATAAAATATTAAAACTACATGTATGTCTTAATGAAAGCGTATGGAACATACGATAATAAATCAAGAGCTACATCTTCATCGAACAAAAACAAGATGAGATTTTGTTGTTTACTTTTTGAGTTAAATTTATATGCAAGTTTATTCATATAAATATCTTTTCAGAATGGTCGTTGACCCATTACTTTTTTGTGATCATTAAAATCGTAATTTTTTAAACTATTATAATCTGGTTTTTGAGAAAAGTCTCTCTATACCCGTATAGCACATAATATCACAGTAATATTGCAGCAATATTGCAATATATCAGAAATATTACATATTACAGTGTAATATCATAGAAATATTACTAATTCATCACATGTTGATAAATAATATCGAAATATCACAGTAATATTTTGCGATATGTCACAATAGTATTACTGCAATTTATCACAGTAATAAAACGTATTAAGGAGCAGAGTGACATATTATAGATTATAATAACGTTAAGAACTAATAGATAATTAATAACATTTCTACGATGTCTACTTAACGTTAAAAATGTCATTAAGATGTTAATTATTAAGCTATTACAAAATTATACGTACACACACACATGTAAGTTAAAGATAGCTATAAAATGTTAAAACTATCATTACTCTGATATTAAGACTTTAATTGATATATATATACATTTATCATATCTCTATAAATATAATTATATATTACTTCCAGTTAACTATCAGTATTGAAAATTTATAGTTCCCGTTATATATACAGATTTTCAGTATTGGTAGGCAACTGACAGTAATATATGAATGTGTGGCGGTTCATTATTCTATCATAAATATAAACTTACATTGCTGGTTATAAAATGTGCTTACTGCTTCATATTTATAATAAAGGTGACTAAGTTATACGATAGTATCGAAGAGGAAAAAAATGTTGACAAATGTTGTAAACAAAATAACCTAGCCTAATTTTTACTAATTCTTTAGCATGTAGCTATTGCGGTAACATATAAAATATTATAGCTTTACAAGTATGCATATTTATTTATGAAGCAATATCATAAAAAATTATGAATTTAATAATGTATTAACCTTATGTTAATAGTAATAAATTTATATCAATTAGCGAGATAATGTCAGCGTTCTTCAATTACCTCCGAGTCCTTTTTATATCGCCGAAAATTTGCCCAGAGTTAATGATCTTTAATAGTCGGGGCCAATGGACATGTTAGGGGCTGTAAACTTATTTTTTATTGGTTACCGCGTTGCATTTTGCAGCGCGGCAAGTGCTTCCGCGTCCAGTGTGCGAGAGCCAATAGAAATTATAGTGTTCGTTGAAACATTTGTCGCCGCGCGACAAGATTTTTCAAACTTTATAATCAATTCTCATAATTTTTTTGAAATATATATATATTTTTTTTTTGGATTTAAAAAATTCTTTGAATATATGGCAAAGAAAAAATTAAATTCTTTAAAATATAAAATGTTTTTGCGTGAGACATAGAAATTCACATACATACACACATGTTGCTTTTAAAAATGTTATATTAATCTAAAATTATAAAACAGCAGTTGGGAGACGCCATATCAAACGTTTAATATAGCCAAGTATAAAATTACAACAGTCACATATTAAATACAGAAAATTTTATAACAAAAAATATATATTTAAGAAACAGTACGTTTGATGTGGCACCTTCCGACTGTTTTTTTATAATTTTAAATTAATATAGTATAAATAGAAAAGTATTTTTTTACACCTTTATCTTTTGTGTTGCATGCGCATGCTTTCTGTACCTTCTTTTCTCTATTACATACGCGTCCATAACGATTATTAACGGTTTATTATATTAATTCTTTATAATTAATATTATTTAAATTTTTTTTAAGCTATCAATTTAAAAAATTGTTTTTTGACTTTAAAATGTTTTTATTTAATATTAAATATTTAAAATACTTTTGTTTCTGTTTGTTTTATTTTATACTTTTAAAAACAATATGTGTATATGTAAATTTCGATGTCTCATGCAAAAACATTTTATGTTTTAAAAAGTTTTATCTTTATTTTATCTTTATTTAAAAAAATTGCTTATTTTTTAAGTTTCTTGTTTTCATTAGTTTCGTTTTTAAAATTATATTTCTTTATTTTATTTTTAATTATATATATTTTTAAT